CAATGCTTCCTTTAGTACACATTTGTTAAACTGCTACTTGCAAGCCTCTGACTTGACTTGTTTCCTCCACTGTGCTCTTCTCCCCTTGCAGATCAAAGTTTGCCAAGTTCTAAATATACTTGTTATCCTATTGCCACTCAGAAACAAGCACATCCTTTTTTAACCTAGTTCAAGCAAAGCACAGAATTTCGATTTCCTGTTGGAAAAGTGGTCTGCACTGACTGAGATCAGTTGTTGAGCAGTTGGCTCAACAAGGAAGAATGGCCTTGGGGATCAGAGAGTGGAGTCATTCTCAGATCAGATTATGTACCTTGCTTTTTCACAACTTTCCTGAATGACTTTGGTCAAATTGCTTAACTCTGTGCTTTAGTTCTCTTGCAGTGTGACAGTACTTGTCTACTTCTCATGGGAAATGCTTGTATATTATAGTGATGCTGACAAATAAAGCACCTAAATGTCTAGATAGCTCCAATGCCAATTTCTGTCTCTGCCCTGATATAAACCTCAGTACTACAAAGGTACTAGGACTTTCACAGATGCCTTCTCTCAGTTAGCTTTTTCTCAGTTTCAGTGTTTCAGAGTTAGTGTTTTCTCAGCTTTTCTTTGGAACCATTTAGGTCCACTGTTTCAATTCCAGGCTTTACTTATTGCTGAAATGTTTAATTTATACCAGATTATAAATGGGATTGTAGCTAATGGAAACAGTAATTTTATTTTTTCCTATCTACTTCCAAATGCAGGAAATAAGCTTCTTGGAATTTTCAATTAGTCAGCCATCCTTCAAATTTCATTTGAACCATTTTTCTGTAGGCAATATTAAAAAATTGCTGTGGTCCTTCTCAGATATTTCAGTAGTGAGTTGATCCTACACAGAATAAATGTGACATACAGGGAACTAGAGCCATTACAGAACTCCCTCACTGAAGGTATCAATCTCCCTGTTGCATTTCCTTGTGTCTGAGACTCCATTGTAGCTCATTCTTGGAATGTATTACTGTAGCAGAGCTCCACAACACCAGAGACTTGATTTTCACTTTCATCAGGGACGTTGTAGAGGATGAGCTTGCAGTTCTTTTTCCTATGAGTTAAAGTGGCAGATTCCTCCTTTAGTTTACGAATCCAGAAATTTTACTTAGTTTAAAAAAAATCCCCCCTTGTTTAATTTTACATCAGGCTGAATGACTAACAGGGCAACCACCTCTCTTTACTGAAATCAATTGCACTCTGCTGTAGAAATTGCTGAACAGAATGAAGCTTTGAACATCTTTCACATGTAAAAAGGCACAGAACAGCCATATTTCCAAATATGCAACTAGACACAGGTAAGTTCACCTCCTTTTACTGGTCTATGGGTACTTACCAGAAAGATGAGCCTGTGATGTTTCTTCTAATTCCCAGCCAGCATGTTCATGCAGGATTGTTTCCAGGGCCCATTATATTTTCTAGTTCAGAGTTCCACAATTTTACCTCTTCTCACAGATCTTCTTCAGATTAGTCAAGAGTGGCTCTATCACTCACCTGCTTAATCACATCAGCTGCTCCCTGCTCTCAGAAGGAGGAATAGAGTAAGCTTGTTGCTCTTCATAACACGCATTTTTAACCACTGGGAGACCACTGGGCACACAAGTCAGAACAATCTGTATTATGTGTGAAATCTAGTTCACTTCTTCCTGAAACTGCATTTTTACCAGCTATATTGGACTACTTGCTTAAAATAAAAGCAGTGTGTCTTCCCACTGAATTCTTGGGAAGCAGTACTGCCACTGTATACAAAAGAATGTTTTAGCTGATTTTTTTCTCACTGAACTACTTTGAAGGTCATAATGCACCAAAATCTAGGTTTACCTAACTAATGCTCAGATGCCTGTGGTGATCTGCTGTCTTCTTCATCTTTTCACATGAACATTTTGGTTGTCTTTACATCACCTGGAAGAGAAAGAAAAGCAAAGACCCGTTGCAGTTGCCTGCTGTCCAACATACTGTATTTGTTGACAGACTTTTTAAGGAGTTCCCTTGAACCTGGAGTAGTACCTCTCTGTATGATTTTCCTGCATATATTTTTGAGCTTCCTGTGCACTTTGCCTTTCTCCATCCACAAAGGGCCCAATGACATGTTTCTGAGCTAAAGAGACCTAAGAGCTGGCATGATCAGCACAGAGATTGTTATTTTGCTTCAAATTACTCAGATATTTATAGTGAAAATTAGAAAAAAGATGCTTTTCTACAATCAAGGTATCAACTGCAACAACCCAAGTGATAACGATGCCTTTCTTCCAGAATATTGTGTATTCTTGGAACATGCAGAGCTGTTGCCACAGACAGATGGGTGGGACACTGCTTTTTTTTTTTTCTTTCTTTTTTTCTTCCGTCTTGCACATGTGAGGGGGAGAAAGATGCAAAAGAAGTAGGGTTTTTAATTGTTTTTCAAATCTTATCAATGCAAAAACTTGCATTAATATTGCTTGTACAGCCAGGGCAGGAATGTACACAGAGTGTCTCAGAGATCAGTAATAGATAAGTATCATTTTTATATAAAGCAAATAAATAATTATGGCAATGTTTCCAAATCTTTAAATCCCATGTGCTCCACAGCTTATCTCCTAAGATGCTCAGGGCAAGTAAAAAATTGGCTGCTAAAAATCCACAATCATGGGACTTCTTCCTTCATCTGCTTGTTCACTGTAACATTGCATTATCATGTGAGGACATGATAACACTATCTTACACCTTAAGGTGTTAAACTCACCAAGAAATGTGACAAAGAATGCTTTGTAAAATGTCATTATGATATCCCTACCCAGCTTAACACTTTTGCCAGTGCCACTCCACATTGCATAAGGGGAGTCACTGTTGGTTTGCAATAACTGTGATGTTGAAGCCTTCCCCTTAGGGTTCATAGTCAACTCACTTAAATGCTTGGGAATTGTCAGAGGCATGTAAAAGAATGGATTTCCATTCTCAGAAGTACAGAGTGTTAATGTAAACTGAAAGGATTGGTACCACACCTCTTGGTTTCTCTGTTCTCTCACAGTTCTGCCTGATGGAGAATTTTTTGTCTGACATTGTCTTTTACTGCCTGACATTCCTCCTTTTAGTGGTATTAGTTTTTTTTTCATATTGTTACTTGTTTCTGAAATTGTACTTATTTACAGCAATAATACTTTAAGAAACAGCTGGTGGAGAAGAGTATACACAATGAAATTGTACAGTACTATGGAGCTTAAAAGCCACCATATACTTGTATTGATACATGTCTAATGACCTGTGTTTGACAACTAAAATTATCAGGTCTCTTTATCCATTGGTACATCAGTCTCCCAAGTGCTTCTCTTTAGGTCAGTTGAAATCAGCCCATAATGAAAATTTCAGTGCAGGGAAGCCTCTGGTATTAGAATAGAAACCTTCAACAGATTTTTAAATTTCTCTTGAAAATGTTGAAAACAACTTGCAAAGATTGTCTTTGGAAATTGCAGGGTGGGGGGCAGACAATTAAAAATGTAAAAAGATTGTTTTGATATTTTATATGTTCTCATTCTGTTCCAAATTTTGTTTGGATGTTTAGATTGTCCAGTACTGTCACTATTGAAATTAAATGCTTCGGGTAGATTTTTTCAGTTTTACAAATACATTTTTTCATAATTTCCCTTTTAAGAGTATACTTTTAATTCTTAATGATTTCTTTGAGAGGAAAACTCCTTTCTATCAGCTGAAATTTTCACCTGCATAGTTTGCAAGTTTCGTTAAATAGGAACTTCTCCCCTTAGAGAGTCTCTGTCCCTGTCTTTGATGTGCTATCATCTATATTTTCATTTGTCTGGATAAATTAAATTTTTCCTGCTGCATTCAGTTGTCTGAATAGCTTTCAACTTTCAAACACCTTATAATTAATTTCCCCTCCTTTCTAAACCTCAGTCTTCTTGTCCCATGTCGTCTTTGCCTTGACTGCCTCAAAGTTCTGTTCACATGAATAATTCTCCTTTTCCCTGTATTTCCTTCTAGCTTTATATGAAAATTTCCCAGAATGAGAATGGAGCAAATTGCGAAGAATTTATTGAGAGTGGGCTAGATGTGTGGGATTGATCATGAGGCAGGCCTGAGTGGAGGGGGAAACGTGACAAGAAAACTACAGTGCAACATTAAACACCAGCAGAGCGAATGCATAGGCTCTCAATACCTCATGTCCCAAAGTGCTGTAGCTGCTCTGGGGAAAAGGTGGAGAGGGGAAGATGCTGGTGAGATGACTTCTGTCCATGTTATTCATGACAAAAGTGGCAGCAAACAAGGCTGTATTGACAGCGGCATTGCCAGTGTGTGAGGGGAGCGATGCTACTGCTTTTTGCTCAGCACTTCTTAGACCACCTCTAGAATAGCATGTCTGCTCCTGGGTTCCCCAATGCAAGAAAGACATACATAAATTAGTGCAAGTTTGGTGGTGATGGGACAGAAGCACTTGCACTGCAAGGAGAGGCTAAGGGAGCTCCCTCTGCTTGGCCTGGAGAAGAGATACCAAATTGCATCTTTCCAACAACCACAAGGAGGTTATTGAGACGATGGAGTCAGGCTGTTCAAAGTGGTGCATGGTGAGAGGATCAGAGATGGCAGCCAGAAACTGAAAGAATTGCAGCTCAGGCTTGGTGTGAGGTAAAAATTTTTCTCTAGGAGGACACTCAAACAACAGAGCAAACAATTACACCTGGAAAGGTGTGCCATTTCCATCCTTGAGTTCAGAGGAGGGCAAAAAACCTGTGGAAGGATCAGGTAATTAAGTCCTATGAAGAGTGGCTAAATGAGCTGAGGATGTTTAGCCTGCAAAAAAGGGGTGTCAGGGGGGACACCTACTGCTCTCTACAGCTGCTTGGAAGGAGGTTGTAGCCAGATGCGGTGTTGGCCTCTTCTCCCAGGCAACTACTGATGGGAGGAGAGGATGTAGTCTCAAGCTGTACCAGGAGCTGTTTAGGCTGGACATCAGGGGGAATTTCTTCCCAGAAAGGGCGGTTTAAACATTGGAATGGGCTGCCCAGGGAGGTGGTGGAGTCACCGTCCCTGGAACTGTTTAAGGAAAGACTGGATGTGGCACACAGTGCTCTGGTTTGGTCTGGTGGTGTTCGGTCAAACGTTGGACTTGGTGATCCCAGAGGTCTTTTCCAACCTTACTGATTCTGTGAGTCCGTGACTCACAGAACCTGCAGGACACAGCCCAGTCCGGTCTCAGAACTGACTCCATTGGGAGCGTGAGGGAGGACTGGAGCCCTCCTGGCGCCGCTTCCAGCTCTTGGCGCTGTGACCCTACAGCTCTCACTCAGCGGCCCTGACGGCAGTCCCTGCACAACCCAGCAGAGCCCCTCACATCTCCTCAGAGCCCCTCACAGCCCCCTCACAACCCCTCACAGTCCCTGCACAGTGCCCTCACAACCCAGCACAGCCCGGTCACAACCCCGCACGGCCCCTCACAACCCAGCACAGCCCCTCCATCCCCTCAGAGCCCCTCACAACACTGCGCAGAGCCCTCACAACACCTCACAGCCCCTGCACAGCCCCCTCACAGCTCCTCACAACCCCTCACAGCTCCTCACAACCCCTCACAGCCCCCGCACGACCCCGGGGCCCCCGGGCCGAGGGAGCGGCCTCCGGAGCCGGCAGGGGGACCTCGCGCCTCAGCCCGCGGTGCCGTCGCCGCAGCCTCGGCTTTTAAGGAGTAAAATTGATGTGGAATTGGAGTGAAATTGATGTGGAAGCCAAAGGGTCGCGGGATGTGAGTTCAAGCCGTGCTCCCTGCCGAAGGGAGTCTGGGGGGGCGAAGGGTGGAGGAAGGGCGCCAGGCCTGCTCGGGGTCTGTGGGGGCTGCTGGAAAGGAAAAGGATGAAATAAAGACCCAAGCCCAAAGGCCTGACTGGAGACTGTCACCATAAGACATAACTATGTTTTCCCTCTGCGGTGTACAGCCACTGCAGGTGTTTGTGCTGGGCTTTAGAGCGGGCAGATACAGCCAGCACCCTGAAATTTCTTTGTTGATGGGTGTCTGGGATGTGACACCCCTTGAATCCAGACTTCCACTCACTTTCTGTCAGTGAGAAGAAGCTTAAGAGTGGTAAAGCTGATATGAAAAGATAAGTATGTGCCATGGTTCCTAATTCTGTGTTCTGGGATCAAACGGCTGTTTTGCTTCACTTCAGGGGAAGCTGGGATTTGATGTTTCAGTGTGCAATGCTGATCAAACATTTTTATATTTTCATTGATAAAACTTTCTATGTTCCTGTACTGAGTTGTTTTTATACACTTTCTGCTCTGGGTGCATACATAATACTGAGGGACTTAACCATTGACCCAATTAAAAAAACCCCAAAAAACCACCTTCTTAAAAGTCTAATTGAATTTCTAGAAAGGCTTAGGTCTGCAAAATAGTTTTCACTCCTGAGCAATTCTAGCCTGCTTTCCCATGATTTCAAAGTCCTTAAGCAATAGCTTTGCCTTTCAAGTACAAGCTCTAACTTTGATTGAATTAAAGCAGAAGGAGGAATAAATTGTTACTGATGGGTTCATTATTTTAAATTATCTTTTCCAATACAGGTGGACTGGCCATAGAACCTGTTGTTATCCCTCAGTATAATTCTGCCAGTTTCAGAAGATCCAATCCAATCCAATCCAATCCAATCCAATCCAATCCAATCCAACCACAGCTGCATCACTCTCCAAACAGTAATTGGAGAGTGGATCTTGCACAGTATCTCGGGCACAGAAAGAAAAATCTCTGAAGAAAGATCTCACAGTTTTAAGATCTTCTGCTTCTGGGTGTCTGATCTACTAGGAAAGGCTTCTACCTCTCTCACAATATGCTCTGTTGCCATAGGCAACTTGAGAAATAGGAGCTGCGGCTACTCATAATTCTTTCAAGAAACCATCTAGTGATAAAGGAATAGTATACTGAGCATCTTTTTTTCTTTCCTTGGTTTTGTCTTGGCTTTTCTTTCCACACAGAATCTCTTGCTAGGTGTCATAATTTGTTTTCCCCCTGTATTTTGTTAAATTAGTCCCTTTCTATTCCACAGTACAAACGTATTATATGCTGGATTTTTCATATATGTTTAAGAAACTGGATTATTCTGACTCTTCTGACTCAACTGCTTTATTGCCTTTCCATGCAGCAGCACATGCTGGGAGATGACAAGCTGGAAAGCAGAAATACTGCTGGTGGACACCAAGCTGAACATATGTGACAAAGAAAGCTGATGGTGTCCTGGACTGCATTAGGAGGGGTGTTCTTCCCCCACTCAGCGCTGGTGAGGCCACACCTGTAGAAGTGTCCAGTTCTGGGCTTCCCAGTAAGAGTCACTTAGTAGGAAGGCTCTTTCACACCTTCCTTATTTAATCAGTCATTTCAAGGGTTGGAATGCTGGACTGATTCATCAGGTACTTTCTTCATTCTCTTCAACACCTGCATAGGTTGAACTCCATAAACTCCATATTGTAAACATGCATTCTAGAGACTTAATCACCCTTTTTCTCTTCTTCTCCAGTTCTAATACTTTAATTTTTTAAAAAACATGACTTATGTTTCTGGGTATGGTATGGGTATGAATTTAACAGTGCAAGGTAAAGAAGTTAGATCTCTTTACTTCTGTGTCATAGTCCCATTTTCACACCTCTACAAGTTAAATCAAAAGGGCAGGCAATGTGTATGGTGCACCAGCTGTGCATGTAGCTATGGAACTGCAATCTGAGCTACTCTTAACTCATCTTTCCATTTTTTCCTAGGTCTGTGCCCTTCTGAAATAGTAAGCATTGCTTATTAGAAACATGTGGCTGGTCATAGTTTTTATTATTTTCATGAGGTTTTTTGGTTTTGTTCTAAGAGATTAACAAAAGCAATGGAGAAAAGATATGCTGATCTCAATATCAAGAACACACTGAGTGCAGGAAAATTTGAGCTTGCATAGCTGTCATAAGTTTCACAAGTATGTGAGGAGGTTTGACAAGGCAATGTCTGTAAGAATATTCTGAATTTCTGGACCTCTGTGCAGCATCTTTCCTTGCTAGTGGGAAGCCTTGCCTGGCTTTCCTGGAGTGCTTCCTGAAGCAGCTCTGCAGTTGATGCATTTGCACTTCCTGTTGCAATGCAGCCTGGTGTATCACTCCTCTCCTTACACTTTCTCAGTCCTCATCAATTTCCCATCTTTCTCAACTTTCAACAGCTTTCCTGTCTAATCATAGTTTTTCTCTTGAAAACCTCCTGGCAGTCTGTCCTGAAATCAGAAAATATGTCTTGCTTAAATCCTTCCCTGTCCCAGCATTATGGTCCTCCTAATGCAGAAGATTGAAAACCAAGGAGAAATCAGTTATGAATTATGACAGCCTGGCATTCCAGTGTAGAGAAGTATTTTGTATATATATATGTGTGTGTGTGTGTGTGTGTTATATAGTTATATATAAATATATATATATATAAAATTTTGCTTTTTGCCTTCTGAGTTTGGAAAGGAGGAAGAAAGAAAATTTGAAACCAAAACATAGCTAGCTAGCTAGCTAGCTAGCTAGCTAGCTAGATAGATAGATAGATAGATTTCTTTAATAGAATTACTGTATTTTCATGTAAACCTCCAGTAACAAATAATTCACCTGAAAGAGGAAGAAGTACCCTAAGGCATATTTGCCACGGGGTGCTTTGTTAATAACAAGCTCAGAAGTAACTGTAGAATATTCTGGAAATGCAACATTGCACTGTTCTATCACTTGTTAACCATAGGGAAATGCTTGTTGCAGTATCACTTGCTTGCATTAAGGAATTTTCAGTAAAACTAATTGACTTTCCTCTTTGCTAATGACCTGTATGCTGGGAGCAGGTTTAAAGATGATAAAACACTTGGTGGAGTGGACCCCAGACAGTTGTGTGGCCATCTAGGGGCCTCAAAGATGCTGGGGAAAATGAGCACAGACGAATCTCCCAAAAAAATCTACGGAAATCTAAAGTCCTGCAGCTTGGGAGGAATAGCCCCATGCACAGGTACAGGCTGGGGCAATCCATCCGGCAAGCAGAGGAGTGGAAAAGGGCAGGGATGGCCTAGTGGACTAGCTGAAGATGAGGCAGCAGTGCGCCCTCGTGGCAAAGGCGGCCAACAGTGTCTGGGCGGCATCCGGAAAAGCTTTACCAGGAGGCTGAGGCACGTGGTCCTGCCCCTCTAATCAGCACTGGTGAGGCAACATCTGGAATCCTGTGTCCATTACTGGGTTTCCCAGTACGTGAGAGACGCGGGCATACTGGAGAGAGTCCATTGAAGGACTACAAGAATGATTAAAGGACTGGCGCCTCTCTCATCTGAGCACAGGCTGAGTACATTGGGGCTGCTCAGCCTGGAGAAGGGAAGCCTCAGAGAGAACACGAGCGTGTATAAATGCCTGAAGGGAGGGTGTAAAAAAGACTGAGCCAGACTCTTTTCAGTGATGCCCAGCGACAGCCCCAAAGGCAGTAAGTACAAACTGAAACACGGGAGGTTCTCTTTAAACACCAGGAAATCCTTTTTACTGTGAAGGGAGACTGAGCCCTGCACCCACCAGGTTGCCCAGATATGCTGTGGAGTCTCCCTTCTTGGAGATACTCACAAACTGTCTGGACATAGACCTGGACAACTTGCTCCAGGTGACCCTGCTCAAGCAGGAGGGTTGAGGTGGACAATCCCCTTGATCCATTCCAGTATCAACTATTTGGTGATTCAGTGCTGGCTAATCAGTGAACCTGAAGCAATCTATCACAACTCTGAGTCTGATAACAGAATTTTACATTAGGGTGCTGGATGTGAGTTTGATGCACCGTTGCTTTTCTTGCATTTCTTTGTTGACAATTTCTGAAATTCATAATGTTCTGCCTAAAAATAAAGGAATGGTGGTTGTGAGTGAAGCTGTTCCATGCTGTGGTACATAGCAGGTGTACACACTTTCATGTGCTTGCCACATTGATGGAGTGACTAACTGACTGAAAACTCCCAAAGGGAGACATTATGGGTGTGAGGCGATAGCCTGGAAATCTGAATGCATTTGTATGGAGGAGAAAAACCCCAGCACATGCTTTTCCTGTACCTTGCTACTGTGCTTATTTACACCTGCTAGTGCAGAGGATTAATGCGCTTCAACACACAGAGACAAATTAGGATTTTCCCTGAAGCCCATCTGCTTTTTTTCCCCTTAAATCTTTACCTGAAGGAAGGAATTAGACTTGATTTAAGGGAAAGAATAGAGGAGGTAGAGAAATTGAGCAGTTAATAGAAGGAGGTTGGCAGCCTAAAGTAGAGGGATGGCAAGGGAGAAACAAACAACTTCACCAATTAGGAGCAAATTAAGGCTGGAAGGGAGTTGTCAAAGGATAAACCTAAGCCACCATGTTGCCTTTTCCACCCATTAGAGCTGCTGATGTACATATCGTATGTACATATGTGTGAATGAACATAGGAAACCTCCAGTTGTGCCATTGTCAGTCATTGCAGCAATACCTTTTTTATTCATTTGCTTCCAAGAAGTAATTCTGGAAATGTTTCCTCCCTGAGAACACCAAATGTTGGTGTTTCCTAACATGATGCTTTAATGGAAGGAGAATAAAAACAGCAACACAGAAAAAGACATATGTTTTAATCTGTCATTAAATAAGTTTGCTAGAAAGTATAAAATGTTACAAAAAATTAAAACCTTTACCTTCTAATAGCATTTGAATGATATTAATCTGAAAGAAAATTCTAATAACATTTACCTTCTAATAACATTTGAATG